TTGGCAGCGTAAAGCGCAGGACTTGGATGCCGCCGGACCCGCTGTTGGACAATCGAGATGTTGCATTAATCGATCGATGGCTGCCAGTCCCCGAACTCTCCTCCGCACCTTGACCTTCCCCAGTGATCCCGCCCTTCTTTATCTGCGCGCGTATAGCGGCCTCCATGAAGGGTTTTGAAGATATTGGCGGTGGTGAGGACTTCCGCTGGTCCTGAGCCCTTTTAGAATCCAACAACACGCTCTTTCCAACAAAGCTGTTGAGAATTTCTATTCGCTCCTTCTTCTTCTTCTCGCGTTCCATCACCTTCTTTAAATCATCCGGAAGGAAGTCCTCGTTTTTCATCATGGCCATAGTTTCTAACGCTATCGGATCCTCCCCGGCGGTCGCGAAAGCGGGTCGTTCGCCCTCTACTTCTCTCTCTTCTTGTGAATGAACTACTTTCGGTAGCGTCATCGCCTCGTGCATATATTTTAACTGTCCTGTTGTCAGACTTTCATCTTGTCCTGACAAGGCCATCGGTGTGGACAGCTGCCCTGTTGAATCTCGTTCCGTTTGTCTAGCTTTCCATCCTTCTTCGCTGATATCTTTATTTGCACTCATCGAAGCTGACACACATAATGACGAAGAATTTTTTATTTGAGTGTGTTGGATGAAGGGCTGGTCTTTCTCTATGCCAATTACATTAGCTGAATACATAAATACATTAGAGTTGTTACTGCTTTCTCTGTTAAGGCTCGTGTTCCCATCCCTGTCTACCTCTTCCTGCTTATTGTGATTCAAGCTGGCCACCTCAAAGTCATTCTTGTTAGGTTTTGTCGTGCCAAGGTCAGATGCTGCATCGCGAAAATCTCCAGTTTTCCGATCCATTACTTTCTGCGTATCTTGGGCCTCGCTCACAGCGTGATCCAAAAGAGACTGCTGAATGGAATCTGTGAGTTCCTCAACGGTGGAGCTCGACTTGGTGATGGAAGCTATAGTATTCATGGCTTCCCTCACTCTCGTTTTTTTCCAAATTCTCACGTCCCCCTTTTTTCAGTGCTCGTCTTTGGTAATTCTAGGCTTGTGAACGTGTTGTGCTGCCCTGAGTGAACGTATTGGGAAAATAAAGTAGTAGCTCTTCTTCGTTGAATCGGAAAAAAATAGCAAGTATATAAAAGTATAACAAAAAATATATTGATAGTACTATACAATATTATTACTCTCTTGAAGGAATAAAAAGCTAACACATCAAGAAAATAAAGGAGGGTAAATAAATGATATGCAAAACAGTGAAATCCTTAGCGGACGGCAAGCAAAACAGAAGCAAAGGAGAAAGTGGAAATACAAGAAAGTCATGTACGGTTTAAATAAGCAGGGGTATATGTGAAGGTTTTGGAAGGGAAAGTATATTGTTTAAAAAATGTTTCGTTCAGCTCTCCTGTACAATTACGGGAAAAAATCTCAACACTCGTTTAGATAAAAGCAGCCATCTTCGTTGAACTTATGCGCATGTGTTGGATTGCTTTAGAGTAGCGGCAGAGCTCTTTTTCAGGACTACCTCTAGGGCTGCTATTTCCTTTCCTCTGGCTTCGCATCCAAATCACGGCAGTATGGGCCCGGTGGCTCCTTGAAGAAAAGAGAAGTACGCCCACCCGCAGGCTCCGCACACTTTCTATCCAGCCGCTGTGGGCCTATCTTAAAAGGCCGGCCCTCGCGCAAGTCCTCGACGAGCTGTTTAATACTATCCCATGTCAAATCCTCGACGAAGTCGTATGAAAAGTTTGGTGGATTGCTATAATCGCTCACCACAAGCATCGGCGCGTTCACACAGGCACCCAGGCACTCCATCTCGCCGATCGTGATCAGGCCATCGCTGGTGGTGCCGTGCATCTCGACGTTGAGGTAATGTTTGGTGTTTTCAATGAGCTCGTCTACGCCGCACAACATGCACGGGGTGGTACGGCAGAACTGTATGTGGTACTTCCCGACCGGGTGGCGATTGAACATGGAGTAGAAAGTGACCGTCTCGAAGACCCGCATTGGCGGGACCTCGCAGATCTTCGCAATTTTGTACATCGCCGTGACCGGGATGTAACCGCCCTGCTGCTGCTGCGCGAGATGTAACAGCGGAATCGTCGCAGACCCCCGCCTGGCCCGCGGGAACTTAGGGAGGATCGTGTTGTGGATCTTCTCATAGCTGGCCGTTGTGAAGTCCCATGGAATGCGGGTGTTGTTGTAGTCGGTGTTCTGGTGTCGTACCTCGCCGTGGATCCCACGCTGCCGTTGGCTCAACACAAAGGTCCAGGGCTTGAGTCTGACAAGTCGCCTCATGACCCCAATAAAGAGGAGTTTATTCCGGTTTTTCCCTTTTTGATGAAGATTTTATTTTCGGGGGGACCTTCGAGAAGATCCGTTGGTTGAACTACGTAAATAACGCAATCCTGGAAAAAGTATAACGCTAGAATGGGTACAATACTTAAGATAGGCTAATAGTAATAAAGATAATAGAAAGAAATAATGCTAACAGAAATGAGTAGTAAAGCTTTCTTCTATCATATTAATGTCCTATATTGTCATATATATATATATATGCTTCTACTCGTGTATATACAGCCGACGTTCTTTTACCTAGTGTAAAAAAAATAAAAGTGAATGAAAACAGTAAAAAAAAAAAAGCATGACATAAGAAAGAGACTATAATAATCAACCAGTAGATCCATAAAAAAAATCGTACAAAAGAACGGTGTCGACACCACTCGCAGAATCCTAACTTCCAGACTCCTTCAAACTAATAAAAAGCTCTGTTATGGATATATTTATCTATTCAAAAATTTTTTAAAATGGGAAAATTTTCCTATCATCCTCACTTTTTAAGTGTCCACAAGATGGACATTCAGTTCTGACTTTTTTTCTCTTCACTGTCTCTCCTTGCTCTGTACACTTTTTTTTTGCTCGACATGTATTTCATTATCTAGTATTTATTTCCTCTAAATACTATTAACTCACTTTCCGTTCTATTTTTTCTAATGAATAGGTACATATGTATATAAGACACCCCTCAGGTGCTAAAGTGGAAGGGCAAATAACATACCCAGAGGAAATAACTTCTATTTGGTCAGAAAAATATAGCGAAAAGAAGGTAAAGCGATCTATATTTAAGCCATGAATTGGTCTGAGGATAGAAATCCCGGCTGGGTTCGAAACAAACAGACGGACAATCGAAGCTTGAAAATGGAAAACAATAGGTAACTAGATATAAATATATATATTTATATGCATTTATTATGGGCACATTTCCAAGTTCACACGGAATTGCGTGTCTAGACCGCCCGCTTGGAACTTTTCTTCTTGGATTTCTTCTCCAATGCCTTATGTAAATTTGGCATCACACCACCACGTGAGATGACAGCATCTACTAAGCGGTTAAGCTCCTCGTCGCCTCGAATAGCAAGTAAGATATGCCTCGGTTTGATTCTCTCTGTCTTTTGCGCCTTTGCAGCGGCACCAGCGAGCTCGATCACTTCAGATGTCAAATATTCCAGCAGCGCCGCACAGTAGATAGCAGCGGAGGCGCCGCAGCGTTGTTGGCGAAAAAGGCCTTCCTTTAGCCGCGAGTGGACGCGGCCAACGGGAAACCGGAGATCCGCGCGAACCGACCGGGACATCTTATCCCGGCGCCCTGCCTTTCCCCCGGTTTTGCCACCGCGCTTTCCCTTTCCCTTCCCCCGCCCCGTCCCGACCTTGCCGCCGGAGACTACGCTTGCCTGATCGGCGGTGGCGGAGCCCGGCCCCATCATGGGCGGCACCGATCCCGGGAGTACAACCGGCGGCTCATCAACTGGGTAGGACATTTCGTTTGTTGAAAAAACAAGGAGCGGGATCGATCAATGGGAATGGTAAAGGTAATAAAAATAATAAGCAATATTTATATGGGGAATATTCCTCCTAATCTATGGAAGGAACGGAAGAATTAAAAAAAAGATGGATACTTATAGAAAAAAAATGTAAACTTCAGAGATGTCAGAAAGAATTTTTTTTAAAAATAAGGAAAAAAAAGCGCAGGCTTACAAAAGGTGTTTTTGAATTGTCAAATATTTTCGGGATTGAAAGAACGCAGAACAGAACATTCAAAAAGAATATGCAGTCTTTTTTTTTTTAATGAGCTGATGTTGCTTTCACAAAAAACTCTTTTCTATAGATAAACGCTTAATAGGTCAGATGTCAGCCCAAACAGCGTGTGAGATTCATTTTTTTCCCCTTAACATGCCCATCCACTGAGTCTATGGTTTCGTATTCTTAAAGGTAGAATGGCAGAGCCCACACCAGACCTCTACATCCTCTGCCTTCCTCTCATCCACGCCATAGACCACACACACCTTAGCCCCTGCCAACAAAGCACAAGGAAAATGGAAATACTTACGGCAGCTTCGCGGGGAGACCCGCCCTGCCGCCTCGCAAGGTCGGAGGCCTAATATGGCATCGCCCCGCCCGCATACCGCGCAGCGTCGCCTCCCACGGCGATCCCAACGCCCATTGGCCAGCGTTGGCTTAGAGAGTCCAGAAAGGACGGCGGCAAGCCTGCAGGCCTCCCCGCGGGGCGATCGTGTCCAATCGCCCCATCCCTCCGGCGCCGAGAAATCAGAAAAAACGTACACCACCGGATGCGAAGGAAACGCACGGGCCCAATAACAAACCGACTCCTCCTCCACGGCATCTGTGGTGGCTCTGTCCACGGTAAATTCGGGTGCGGACTCAGGACCGGCGCCGTAAAGTTGCGTGGTGTATGCAGAATCGCCGTCCGGGAGTATACCCGACCAAAGCAAGCAATTGTGATGAGCCACCGCCTTGGATCCCAGAAGTTCCCCTTCAACAATGCCTTCTGTCCTCAACCCGACCGCGGATTTCTCGTCTTCCCTGGCGGGTTCACCATTTACTCCCACCCCACGACGGCACTGTAAGCACCAATTGGGCCCCAACATGGCGGCAAAATGATCCTCGGTGAGTCCGTCCAGCTCCGCCTTATCGCACGCGGCGCGGGTGGAGCGCAATAGGGCCATCAAATACCCCCGCATACCATCCCGATCCTTCAGATCAAGCCCGCAGCACACACAAGGGCCGCTCGCACTTTGCCAGGGCCGCGGCCCGATCACGCCCTGTGCGAGAGCAGAAGGCGGCAGCATGCAAAAAATGACAGACCCCTCTGCGAGGCGGAGAGAGTCGTCGAGGGGGTGGATGTCCACCAGCCCGCTGCAAAAAGGCCCCAAATCCGGTGAGGGCCGCGCCACCGGAGAGAGGAGGTGGGTCTCCGTATCCCCAAGCCGCTGAGTTAAAATGGCCGGTGAGGCAGAAGGGGAAACCCCGCCGTCGAAAGACGCAGGGGGGCCCGACGGGGTTGATTCAAGAGGGGGGGAATTCAGGGCTGCCTGGGCGGGGGTCCGCAACGTCGCCACCAGCCCCTGCAACAGCCCCGTGAAGAGCGCGAAGTTGGGTAGTGGGGAGAAGCTGCGGTGGCTGGCCGAGACCCGTGAATTACACAGAGGACAGTGTGGCCTCCCCGCCACGCATTGTGCGGCGCATCCTCGGCAGAACACGTGCCCACAGGATAAAGCAATGGGGTCGGTCAACAGGTAAGTACATATCGGGCAATCACAGAAGGAATTTGCGACCTTGGCGATACTCAGGAGATCCCCTTCCATGTTGAGAACGAAAGGGGAAGAGAAGATGAGGTGCGCAAATACCACCACAGAGGTTGACGAACACAGACAACTATTTACGGATAGTTCGATGTCTTCTTTAATGCAATGACTTTTTGGGTATGGCGTAGGGGGGCGCGTTGACGCTGCATACTGTTACTGATGACTATTTTTGATCAATATAAAAATATCTATATACGAGTTTAGGGGAAACTTGAGTTACCTAGAATACCAATATACACCTCGGTTGGAACAAAATACCTAACACCGGGGAAACTGGTTCAAAGATTAGACTGAATTCCTCCTCCACAATTTTTCTTCGCCTATTGGGTTCCATAGTTAAAAGTGATACCATACAGAAACAAGGGAGTAAAATGAAGAGGGGGAAAGAGGAAGGTACATTGAAGAACTACGTTCCATGTTGAGATGAACATTACTTTGGGATGCAACATAACTTTCATCTTACAAATAATACGTCTACGTATGAACGGCGAAGATATCTCGTCGCAGTGGATCTTTATGACAACTTTTTCTGCATCCAATAATACTAACCTATTCTTTTGTGTCAAGTGATTAAGAGGGTGTACCACAGTTAAAAATAGAAATCACATCTTCAGAAAGAATGGAAAATAAATCACAAGAGAAAAAGGTATCACAAAAAAATGTCATTTTGGGGTTATGAAAAAAATGAAAGTGAGGGTTATTTGAATGAAAACGTTAATCGTTATCGTGTGTACGCTTTTCGTCACCGACTATGTTGGATTTAAAAACCACGTGGGGTGGTCGCGCGCAGTGAGATCCAAAACGGTGGTAGAAAATGAATCTCCACAATAATGCTTTAACCTCTCGACTCAAAAATGATTGGCGCTTTTCAGTATCCCTTGTCCCACCTCTCCCTCCGGTTCTTTGTTTATCTAAAAGGGGTGCCTCAGCATTGGCAATCACTCACCCTGCACAATCACCCCTAACGAGTGGAGTCGTAGCATGCAATTGAAAAAAATACTGCAAAGCCAAACATTATCTGTCGTTCTATTGTATCTTTTCCTTTCAATAGAGAAAAAGTCAGTGAATAAATTGTAAAGGATAGAAACTATGCTTGATACAGGAAAAAGTCCAAAAAGGGTTATAAAAATAATTGATCAGAATCCACCACTTCATGATCATTAGAACTCCAAACAGTCCAAAACGAACTTTACAAAATAATCATTTTTTTTAGACTCTGGATTAGGAGCCTTTTTTTTTTAGGTAGAACATTCGACTATAATCAAGCAGGCCACCACCACCACCACGTCGCTGATCCTCCGGGAGAAAGAGGCTAATACCATCTCAAAAAGGTTATCCAAGTTCCTGTTTATTTCTTTTTCACTGCCTCCATCTTTCGCTTTTGGCGTTCCAAGCGATTTTTACGTCGTTCTTGTTCAACTGCCTTTTTTGCCGCAGTGGCAGCCTCGACGAAGGCCCGCTGCAGACTAGTCTGAGACGAAGGCTCAGTTCTACTCTTCTTCCGGCTCGTACGCCCCTCGTTGTTGGTACTGTGGCATTCCACAGGCTCATTTGTAATAGTAGCCACCGCACCATCCCCCACGAAGCGAATCATAACCAAACTACTACTCCGAATTAATGTCGTGCCCACGTAGCACATACGCGTCGCCGAATCCGCGCGCTCCTCCGGAACGTCGACGCCGAGAACCGAAAGCGCCACGTCACGATTCATCATCCCAAACATCAACTGCCGCTGTTGGCGCCAATGCGCCTGGCGAAGGGCGCGCTGAACATCGCACGCCCGTTCCCGTCGCACCGTTGCCTCCTGCAGAGTGGCGTTGGAGTGCGCGTCGAGGTCCACCAGTTTGCCGGCGTAAACGTAGCCCTGCGTCGTTTCTATTTCGACCTCGATAAAGCGACGCGCGGGCTCACCAGCCGCCGAGGACGACCCGAGAAGGTGTTGAATCACGCCAACTGGCACCCCCGCCCCTTTCCCGTCCCTCTCACGGACGGTGGGTACCCCTCCCTCTTTCACCGCCCCATGCGAACACGACGAGGCCCCGTGTGCCTCCCCTTGTTGCATAATTGAGAAGTTGGGAAATGGACTACGCCAGCTGCCAGAGTTGAGGAAACACGCCTGACAAACGCCCCAGTTTATTATATAAATCTAGATAAAAAAATCTAATTCTCTTCTCGTGGGAAGAGACGTTAAAAAAGGGGGTAAAATGGAACCAGAGAGATCGTATGCGCGGATATTGTCTGTGGGTTTGCTTTTCACGTCGTCTAGATGTAAATTTATGCTCTGTTTAAGGATATTTATTGTGTTTAGCTTCCGTACTTAATCAACTCTGCATCGAAGTTAGATCTAATAAACACAAAAATGATGAGTTGCTATTTTTGAGGGAAAAACACCGTATGGGGTTGAGCAATGCCCTTTTCTGGTTATTTTAAACAAATAGTTTAAAAGGTCCTAAATAAAAAGAAAAAATGAAAGAGGTGATAACTACGAATTTAACCAACCATAGTAAATATAGAAAAGGGTTGGAACGAGGAAACACTGGCATAAAGAAGGAGAATATCCCCCATATTTTTAAAAAATCAAAACTAAATTTTTAAAAATTAAATGGAAAAAAAAACGATGTAATCAGAAACAAACAAAGTAATGTGCGCTACGATGCCATGATACCTCATTGTATTCATAAACAATACGGCTTTAAGCAAGAAACTTGTTCTACGTTTGGAATCACACTCTCGTGTGACCGGTTGAAATTTAGAAAGGAACACACCAAAAATGGAAAAAATACGCATATAAACCTATTATTTGTGCAATGTGGGCTGAACTACTACAAAAGATGCGGAATCACTCTCCTCAACGAATTCGTTCCTCTCCGAATCAAAATAGCAGTTGAGGATAGGATCATAGATAAAACGGGAAGGTGTCGATGAAGTATTGAGTTTTATAGGTGCAGCTACCGTTTCAATTACCGGTGCGTTGGTTGCCACCTCTGCTTCATAGGGACGCCTTGGTGCATCCCTCGAAGAGGAAGCAGCATCCGCAGCGTTGAGCGATGCCCTAAAAAATGAGTCCGCTGCCGACTGCTCCGTACTCGCCGAGGTGTCTATGGTACTATCATACCGCACCCGTGCAAGGGCCGAAAGTGGCATATCTGACCTTGACAAGAAGAAAAACCCATTTGCTGCCGAACTATTGTTGACATTATTCGAGCTGAGCTCCTGGCTCGCATCAGGAAGCGTCGGGGACACGCGCGTCAATGACAGTTCAGTTGTGAAGAAATTCGCCACAGCAGCCTCAGGCGCATGATGCGGCGCTACGGACGGCACAAAAGAGTCCTCGGGAGGAACCACCGAAGGTGGCAGATGCGAAGATGAAGGTTTGGTTTGTTCTTTTTTATTGGCATCCACTGGAGGAGAAGACCAGGTATTGGGAACAGTTAAGTCCAGAGGTGTTGTCGGCGGGAGTCCCAAAGGCACCCGCACGGAGCACCCACCTTTACCCACCGATCCCACGCGTCCCGAGTGAAAAAAGGGCAACTGACGCTGCTGGGCCAAAGGAGTGCTCTCCGGTGTCAACGGCAGAGGTGATCGTTCCTTGAGGGACCCTCCCAACTCCCGCACCAGCATCTCCCTCATGGCCGAATTCCCGTTCTTTGGATCCCTCTGTGGGGGCATTGCGCCGCCACGTGTAGGTATCGAGATGTTCGCGTCATTGACGTGGACGGTAAAGACCTCGCTCGAACTGGCCTCGTTCGGACACGGTGAGGAAATCTGCCGGTCCCGCCCGCCGGCCTCCCAACGGGCTAATGGAGACTGGTCGGGCCCGGAGCCTCCTGGACATGAAGAGCTGGGCCACGCCGTGGAGTCCAGTAGTACAGGCCTGTAGCTGCCGCTGTCTTCACCCTTAAGGTCGATCGAGTGAAAGGTCCAGCTCGTGCGCAGAGGGTTGCCCCGCTCCTTTAGTTGTTGTGACACTTGTCCGGGCCTGTCGTCCTCTCTCTCAGAACGTTCCCCCACGGCCGTTACAAAGTGGCCGCGCACAGGTTCACCCTTTAATGGGAGCTTCGTATCGAAACCGTTCAAGAAGCCTCGAGAGAACGTGGAGAACTCTCGCGGTGTGTTCGCCTTCTCAGATGCCACGATCACCGCTGCGACGCCGACCGCGGATGCCGGAGGGTCTTCGACCGAAAAACGCGTGGATGGGGTCGTGTGGGCGTCATCTGAGGGTGTAAATTGCAGCTTGGTCGGGTGGTCATTAAAGAAATGGCGGTGGTGGCCATCTTGAGAACCGCAACGTCGCCGAGCGGAGCGGGGTGGGTCGTTGAAGCGAGGTAACTCCAGGGGCTCCTCACTCGAGCACCACTGCGCTAGGTGAGTGAGCTCCTCGGCACTCAGATCGCATCCAGCGGACTCCCCCTTGGCAGTCTTAGGAAAGTCTGAAGAACCCTTTTGGATCTTCGCGTCCACCTTCGATGGGGTGTGGGTCACTAAGACTGAAGTAGATGGCGCGACCGGCACAGTGGGTTGCCATCGCCTCACAACTTCTACTCTCGCATCGGTAGATCGTGCACGGCGCTGTTGCTGCTTCTTTTCCTCCATAGTGTCAGCTACGGCGGTGGAGATAGTGGAATTGCGCACTCGCCGCCACCCATCAAAAGGCAACCCTCTCGCGGTCAGCGCATGGCTTGTCTCGGCTTCACATAGCACTGCTCGAATTTTCTGAAGTCTCTCGGACATTAGCAAAATCAGCCGCTCAACAGCCGCATCTGAGTTTTTGGAATCGGGTATTATGGAAGCGCTACTACCGACCTCGCGGGCAACTGCTTCCGACGTAGCGGTTGAAGTGGCAATGTTCAAATTTGGCAACGACGACGGGGCCGCTAAGTCCTTTTCCGCGTGGCGCACCACATGAAACCTGCTATCAGGGTGACTGCTCTCCGGTAAGTCCCCATGAAGGATAGTGGCATCTTGTTCATGAGTATTTTTCACTATATATACTTCATTAGAGAAAGAAGAAGAAGACGACGCCGCTGCCGCGTCAGACCACGATGAGGACGATGGAGGGCTCACCAATCGTCGAGAAGGCGGCTCAGATTGCCTTGTTGTGTCTCTGTACCCGGAAGTATCCCTCTTGTCGTCTGCGCTGAGGCGGCCAGAGGACACGGTAGTAGCTGAAATATCAAACGTAGACGTGTGCTGCTGCAATCCTGACGAAGATCCAGGCCGGGACCGAAGTATTGAAGGAAGGCTTCGTCGGAGATTCGCATGCAACATTACAGCCGTGGCCGAAAGATTATCGCGCCGACCTCCCCGGGTGTTTTGACTCAAGGGTCGACGTGAAGGGACAGCGTCAACTGCTCCAGATAGGTTTGACCGTGAAGATGTAAATGTCCCCCGTGCGGTGTGGGGTGCTGCGGCGCTGCGAGGTGCTATCAAACTCGGCTTTGGTTGGTGAAATCGCGTTGTGGCCGGTGCTACAGGAGCAACTTCATCTAGAGTGCTTGGATGAGATTGGTCACTCGTGGTCAGTCTCCCAGACTCATCCTCAGGATGGAGATCTAGCTCGCAACCTAACAAAACACCTCGTGGGGGAGATACAAGGACCTCCTCGCAGCCGGTGCGTACTACAAGCACGAGAAAAGGTATGTTTGGTAGCAGTACAAACGGTCCTGGTAGCGTTATCGATGGCACCGAACCCGTGCCATCCGAAAATATATGGTCCGTTATGCAGGGTGCAGCCGAGAAACTCTTCAAGTCTGCGGAACCCAAGACTGGAAGTTCATTAAGCGCTAATATCCGCCGCACGTATACCCCACCCCTTGTGGCACCCTCGCCGGTGGAGGAACTAAAACAAGTTATTTTGAGCTGAGTGATACGATACTCACCCTTGGTCCCCCTAGAACTATACAAATAACGCTCGTAAAGGGAAGAAACATCCACGAAGAGGTTAATCCAGAAGCGTGGTGGCCACGCGGCCGTCCCGTTTCCACGCTTCCCGTCCTTACTGCACTGCTGGACATGCCCCTCTGTAAGATGCCATCCCCCTCCGAACAGGGGTATCTTCACGTGATGGGCATGCTCCTGTATGGTCCTGATGGTTCCCGTCAGCAGAATTCGGCGCTGCCCTACGCAGTCCCTGATCGTCAGCTCGAGACTCACCAAGGGCCCTAAGGCGATCGGCGGGGACGATGGGCGCGTGGCTGTGGCCGATGCCGGCCTCCGCCCTGTAGCCCCTGTTGGGGGCTCGACGAACAGTTGAACCGCCACGACGCGCTGCGGAGCCGACGAGGCCAGCCCCCCCATCCCTCTTCTTCCCCGCGAAAGCCGCGGGGTTGTGGCTGAGGCCAAGCCCGGGGCCGACGCGGTGGGTGGTCGCAAGAAGCCGACGCTGTGCCCAACGGGAATGAAGAGGAGCTGGGAGTGTGTGGGGGCGTCGTAGCTGCGACGGACGCCGCTCGGCAGACGTCCCAGGACAGCCGCCGTCTGTGCACGGCTTTTGGTGGGGAGGGGACGAGAGTCACGCGCGGGGCCCACCCCCTCGTGGGCGTGGGCCGCGGTGAGGGACTCGATGGAAAGCCCGTCAAGCGGGCGGGGTCCCTGAGGGCTGTACAGGATCACCGGGGGGGCCGCCGGACGGGCTGCCGGATGGGCCGTACGGCCGGTTCCCCTAGGGCTTTTCCTCGTCGAGGTGGTTGGAGGGGGCACGACATCTGTCGAGTTACACCGACGGGTGCTCCGGCCGCCGCCATGGGGATGCGGCTGGGGCCATTGGGGAAGCACTAAGGGAGGGACAGGATTTGTTCCAGGGTGTGAACCTAGATGACTAAAACGTGGTTTGGATGAATAATAGTAGGCCAAGTTAGACATCAAACCAAAAGAAATGGAGTATTACTAGGAAAAGACACTTAAATAAATCTAAATGTATTTATGTATATATCTATAGGTGAAAACTAACACGAGAACCACAAGTGCCGTGCTCAGATTCCAACGCGAATATTTAAAGAAGCTTTCTATAGGTTTATGCGCTTACTGCAGAGCACCTTCTGGGTGCACTTGCTTTATTAAACC